TGGAAAATTGTCAGATTGTCTAGAGCCTTGATCTTTATTGGTAAGGTTTGTTCAGTGGAGTTATTAGTGTTGTAAAATGTTCAGGGTGGGGGAAAAGAGGAGACTTTTTATTCCCCAAAGTTAACCTGACTTGTTGGCACAAGAAATATACTTAATGGTTAACACTAAAACAAAACTATTTGTTTTTAATATACAAATTATTTTCTGCATACTGGCACATCTTTAACATTCCTAGCTATCGATATTTTTATTAAGATAGAAGAGAATTATTTTGTTCCATAGTTTTAGCAGCTTGAAAAATTTGTTATTTGAAAAAAATTGATTCAACAAAATATTTTAAAAAATCACAATTTTTTCCTCAATCTTTGCAAATAATAAACCTGAAAATATAAAAGGAAATGCTTTCCAGAACTTTTCAATTTCCTCCCCAATTGTTTATGGGTTTTAATTGGCTGCCACATTTCACCCATAAAACATAGTCAATTCACTTTACAGTATACTGTGAAGCGCTTTGAGATGTCTTGAAGACATGATAAGACGCTATATCAAATGCAAGGATTATTATTATTAACACGAGCCAAGGGAATTTTCTCCTTATCTTTTGGTCCTGGTCAGTCACTGCAGGTGCCCTAATCTATGTCCAAGAAAGTAACCTTCTGAATATTCAGAGTTTAATTAGGGACATTTCCAACATTTATGTTCAATATTTAATGCAACTCATTTTGGCCTCCAAAAACCAGGCTGAAATCACAATAATTTGCTAACTACATCATAAAAGATACAATATAATAAATATTTCTAAGTTATTTTACAGTGAAACATTTATTAAAGTTTAAAAGAATCTAAGCTTACTGGGCAATATCTTGAAAATTCTCATTAGTAAAGGTAGACCAAACCATTTCTCCAACTTGATTGTCTTAAATCTAAAACTTTACCTTCACCAAGGTAACATCAATTTCAGATCGTTTTTTTTAAAAATCAGAAATATAGACCAACAAAAAGAAGCTTCTCTTTAATGCAAACTTTTCTTAACAATGACGTGGTTAGGATCAAAGAAAGTAGTGCTATATTTACAATAAGCTGCTCTTGAATTGGCTACATTCTCTCAGAGAAGATTAGTAAATTTGAGTGACTATGTCACAAGTATTTTTACCACTCCTAGGAGTATTTTGTTTTTTCCTTTCACTTTATACAGAGCATTGAATCAAGCAGAACGGTGCAAATTTCATCACACAGTGAAAAATTGGGCAGGACAGAAAAGGGTGAAGGATGCTATTGAAACTAATATTGCTAAAGCTTCAAAAGGAATCACGATTTCTTTCAACCCATCAAATGTTCGCCAAATTAAAACACTTCAAAATTAGCAATTCCTCACTGAATTCCAGTCAAATGTTCCAGTCAGACTCACAGTAAAGCAACATCCGATTTTAAAATTATGATTAACAAAGTATAACTCATGCTGCCTCCCTGCTTTGTGAGGAGAAAAATATTTTACTTACATTATATATTTAATTGTGTATTTTTTTTAGAAATCAATAGATAATTAGATATCTTCAGTTCTGTCTACGAATCTGCTGCCATATCTATACATCAGGCTTCCCAGATACACTATGATTTGCTGCATAAAATCCAAAATTATATTTCATTTTTAAATTATTTACACTGAATTGTGGAGTTTGCTTCTCAATATACTCTATTTTTGGTTATCAATTTCATTTTACAAACCGGTGGTTAGCTTCCATCAACTAATAGGAATGGAACAATTCCTGAAAAGACGCTCAATCGATTGATGCTCTCCTTGCAAATGATGTCAAATACTGTACTTCAGGATGCATCACGGATGGCATTAACACGCTTAAAGGGAGTCAGGAAAAAACACAAAAGCTATGTAACGTAAGCACGTGGAAGTCATATTTATACTTGCACACTTTCTCCATTAGTTGCATTTACTACAAAAAGAGGGGTGAAATGTAGTTACAAGGAAGTTAAACTGAAAACTCCAGTGATGTTAAAAATATCAAAGCTTGAGTGGCCTGTAAACATCACATGTACCCCACATTAAAACCTTTCCTGTAACTCACTCCAACCCATTATGAAACACAATTTACCATCTCTGCATAGAATATTCAAATACTGTCGTGCAATACACTCCAATGTTAAAACTAACAGCAAATGCACAGCAGTGACAGGCTGATATCTTGTACAGCTAGGGATCATGCTACAGACACCACTTAGTATTACCAGGTCTGCATACATACAGTAGATTTTTTTAAAAAAGTGCTCACTTTAGCAGAAATGAAAATAAACATTACAAGGAAAGATTTTTTGAAACAAATATATAAAATGGGTGGCATTCACCTTTGCATTTACAAGATGTTGGATTAATACATGTGCACTCTGCCTGTAAAGTTCACACCAATACTGGAAAATATTCAGTTCTAAACCACATGACCACATCCACTGCACCATTTTACCCCAGGATGATTGCCAATGTTGATTAAGCCAAACAAATTACATGGTTTGGTGCCACGGTCTCTGAATTACTATTCATAAACATCTTGGAGACAGTCATCGATTGACAAATTGTGCAAATTTAAAACAATAAATAATGAAAATATGAGCACATACGAATTACAAAACATTGGATAAAATAGATGCAGTTACATAAGACTGAATGAATTGCTCATTACTGGAGGGCAGCACTGCTCTCAGACATGTACTGCAGCCTTGGCATACTCCATAGTTACCTAAAAGGCATTTGTGCCAGTAAAATATAGTTATTTGTCATAAGAAAAATAATTGATCTAGTAGAAACCTCCTATGCCCCATAATTATCACTCAAAGAAGCAGTGCATGAGATCACCATACAAATGGTTAAATGGCCAGAATCAAACGTCCTATTAAAATGACAGATGAATACCATGATCAGTCTTTGTAAACAGTTTCTTCCATTTTAATCACATTTATTAATGTGTTATATTGCCTCCCTGAACACTTTTTACCATTTTAAATTGCACATTACTCCAGAACCTTGCAGATTCCCTTCTACTTCTTATTTGGCTCCCTTCACAGGTCCACACCACGACTCTCAAATCACATGCTTTTGCCAGCCATGAAACACCCAAATTAGATACAAAATCCAGGCCTTAGTTGCGTCTCCTTGAGGGTACCACAGTAGCAAATGGTACCACTGTGCAGCATTCAGCTGCTTGCCACAATTTTCCCACATTATCACCAAAGCAGTCTGGGGAAGGAAGAACTAATAAGTGAACTCACATATACATGCTGTTATTGCAAGACTAGCATGCTAGCTATAACAGCAAGGAAGTGCAAACATTGTGCTCCTACTGAATATCCTATTTGGAAACTTTTTTTCAAAAAAAACATGAAAATGTGGACTAAACTGTTCTATTTACAATATTCTGAAAAAAATGTACCATAAATGATAACATTAAATTCAGAATGAAATATGAAACAAACATAGATAGAATAAAGCATTTTGCTAGATTAGGTAACCACAATTCAATTTAAATACTTTTGAAATACAGTGGAATATTACAGCCTTAGCTACGCAAATGTAATTTTATAGTTGTCAATTATTTTCAATTCGTCAAAATCATCAAGTAGTATTCACTTTGAAAATCTTGTTTCAGACAAAAACTTTTATGACTCACAAGCATTTTATTTAAAATAATTGCTTGCATTTGATACGCTTAATCATGCTGGAACATCTCAATGCTTTTAAATGTAGCAACCATTAGTTGGTTCAGAAATAGGGCAGCTAATTTACACCACCAATTTAATAACGAGATGAATGATCAGTTTTTTGCTGAATTGGGATGAGATGGATATTGGTCAAAACACTGAGAATCTTCTTTGAAATAGTAATACTTTCAGCATCTATCTGAACTACTAGAAATAAAAACAAGCTTGATTTGATGTCTCATCTAAACAATGGCACCTCTAACCTGGAGCATCAGCCTAGATTAGGAGTTTTGGTGTAGGAATCAAACCCGCAGCCTTCAGACTCATGAGGCAAGATGACACTTACATACTAGTAATGTACCAAGATTTAGTTATTAATTCCACCTTTCATACATAGAATGTACTGTATATTAATGGAATGTATGAAAATTATTAAATATTTTTAAATAGCCAAAATGCATCTAATCCTCTGAGTGAACCTAGAAACTTCCCTGATATGTTACCATGGAAAGTAAATTGCATAATAGATTTTTTTTACAATTATGCACGTTAATACAAAACAATTACCAAATAAAATCCAGGAGTGCTTTTTCCAGGCATTTTTGAGCACAAATTTTTAAAAAATCATATTGTCACATTCAAGTCGTTTCTTGTAAATACAATACCATTCAAAGATGAGCCTTGTTCAGAATCATCCTTGAAACCTGCAATTTGTTTTAAATTTAAAGCTGCAGCATTGCTTTGTAGCAACTCGAAATCTAATCTTATAAATCATCACAAACTTTCCATATCGTTTAAATCTTCCTAAAATGAGGGTGTCTGAAAACATAGTGCTGAAAAAACTGGAGCAAAACCACAAGATCATTAAAAACACAGCTACCAGCAGGGTTTTAGCATCAACGTTATGAACAGCTCACTGACTCGAGAGCTGATAGCTATGTGAACCTGTCCAACACTGCAGTTTAGTATATCAAAGAAGTTGGGATATTTTGTCCCTGTTCTTATTCCTTTGGAAGCACTGCAATAGCGCCNTTTTTTTTAAACTTCAATACAGTCAACCCAATTAAAGTTGTTTTTTTTAAGAGAGGCAGTATGTTAAACCAGAAATTAGATGGAATATAGTTTCGCTGATTTTTGAATACAAATTTTGGATGTGAAAAGATACCACAGCTTTAAATTAAAAGAAGAAATGTTGAAAAATCACATGGTAAATTGAAAGCAACAGTTCAATGCCAACACCGAACAATAGATTTGTTTCCAGCATATGCTGAAGCATCTTGAATCTACCGTAAGTTATATCATGTACAACTTAAATATTTTGACTTTTGTACAAGAGATATCCAATACAATAATATCCTAGCTCGTATCTTGTCTATGAATGAAGAGTAAATAATCCATTGATGCAGAAGATAAAGAAGTGCTACAGTGCTGTGTCATAAACTTCCTGTTGGGCACATCTGCTACTGTCTCTTTCAGATTCAGCCTCCGAAACTGGATCCTGATGTTGCTTCATTTGCTCCTTTACATCCTCTTCTAAGTCTGGTGGCACAATTAATTGATCCTCTGGGTCTGGCTGTGCAGGTGCTGCAAAATACCCACACTTTTTCTTTGGTGCCTCTGTGGCCACTTCAATAATATTGTGGCTTTTCTCAAGAGGGACCACAGACCCATTTGAAAACTTCTTGCCCTGTAGGTTCAAGGCAGACGGAGATTTCTTCAGATCATTTCCTTCTTTATTAACTGTTAACGGTGACCCAGCGTTTACACCATTTTGCCTCTGTACCTTTAAGTAGGCTCCTGGACTGTCATCCTCAGACATACTAACAAACAGCCCTTCGTCACCAACTTGTGAAGGGGAGGAAATCCCAGGAACTCTGAATTGGAAACAGTGAATGTCCGCTTCGACTTCTAGTTTGCTGCCATTAGAAATGACTCCTTCAACCGGTCGATCATCATCACTGTCAAGGCCATTGTCAGAGTGGTTACTGGAAAATGTAGCGCTAGAAAGCTGCCGCTGAAAGACACTGGTCGAAGTGCTCGGGTGCAGACTGCAGCGGCGTTCAGAGCGAGGGACCGCACCAGCCTCCAGGCTTGTGGCCGGCTGCTCGTCTGAAGCTGTAGATCCCACCTCACTGCTGACTTCTGAAGCAGACATCTCACTGTTGAATTCAGATGCTATACCGCTACTAGATGATGGGGTAACCGGAAACTGCGCGCTCTCTTTTACTAACATGTTAACAGGTGGAGCATACATGCCTGGACTTGGCATCGGAACTCCATGGACTTCGCATGTGCAGCTGTCCTCTCCAATACTCAAATTCACCACCACAACCCCAACGTTGTCGTGGCAACCGTAGCTCTGGGCAAGCGTGCAAAGTTTCTTGGCTGCTGCGAGAGGATCAGGCACATTCTGAACAGCTTCTATCGCCTCAGCATACGACACATTTTCCCAGAGTGTCCTGTTGCCTAAGATGAAGAATTCATCCTGAGCAGTAAGTGATATTGTGTGAACATTGGGTTTTGGAAGGACCCACGGGAACAGGTAGGTGCAGCCCAACAGACGTGTAAAACAAGTCACACCATTCACTTTGTTGTCCTAAGAAAGAGAAACAGTATTAATCACAGAATTCCACCAAATGAGATTCTTTTTTAGTACAATCAGTAGAAGTGACCAAGAGACAGAATATGCAACACAAACTACCAGTCTAATTCAGTCCTTTTAAAAGCATAAATTGCAGTAAGCCTATTGGTTATGTGCTAAACAGAATCATTGCATTAATTCTAAACAAACAAAAATAAAACATTTGTGGTCTTTACACGCCGTGACATCAGTACACAGTACTTATTTGAATAACATACATACGCCCAAGGAAAAGATTGGCAAAATACTGGTGCCTACCTCAGTTATAATAGCTTTTTGTTGTTTCACTCTTTCCAGCTCCTCATCACACTGCTCAAGACTGAACACTTTTGAGAGCAGCAATGGCTGCCCATCGCGACACACCACCACTTGACAACTGCCCACATTGGCCAGAGTGAGGGTGAAGTTGCTGTTATGGTCACTGGGATCATGTCGAATGTGACAAAGCACCGATGAGGAGCCTAACTTCTGTCCCACCATCCCCAGTTTTCTTTAAAACAAGAGTTATATGAAATAAGTATTTAGAATGTTCCTAACAATCTACTTTCATGATCTGTAATGGCAGCTTTCTCACCTGTGAGACACGAGGAACGTGTGGGTCATATAAACATTGTCCGTGTTGGATTGCTGCAATTCCTCTGCCAGCACATCTCCCACAGTGCATTGCAACAAACGTGGGATCTCCATATTCCTTTCTCCGTCAAATACACCATACAAGGCTTCCAAGTTATCTCCAAAGCTGTCTAGGGCAAGCACTGAGAGGCAGAGTCTAAAAACACAAAACAGTTTTATAGGATACACTGCAAAATGGTTTTGACTGTCTGTTTTGTTGGCAAAACGCGGCAACCAGTTTGCGCACAACAATGTCCCATAAACAGCCATGAAGTGAATGAATAATTTTATTTGGGGGATTTGTTGGCTAGGACACCGGGAGAAACTAACTCCGTCTCTTTCCGATTAGTGCCATTGAATCGTTAAGGTCTACCTGAACAGGTAGATGTGACCTCGGTTTAACATCTCATCCGAAGGATGCCACCTCGATTCCAAGTCCTGATGTGGGGCTTGAACCCACACCCTTCTGACTCAATAGGCGAGTGTGTTACCACTGAGCCAGGCTGACACCCCCAACATTTATGATGCACAAATCAGCCCATATTACCCAACCATTGAAACAATAAGCAACTAAATGTGTACTAACTTGTTCCTGTGTCCTGCCATTTCAGCGTAGCCATGACTCCAAAGCGTAGGACCTCCCATGGAATCATTTGTCAGAACTGGTGGTTTCTGATCAATTTTCAAAGTGGCAATATGACTGTAAGAAAAGGAGATGATTGACAATTGTTTTCATATCTATCTCACGTATAGAATATTCCTGAGGTTGAGAAAGCTGTTCAAATGGCAATTCTACAATTTCCAAACCTGCTGCTACCTATAATGCAGCCAAAAACAGGGGCTATTTCGGACAAGTTGGCATTTGAATGACACCAACAACGTAGCAATGGTGGCCAGCCAAAGTGAGATGACCTTAATCACAAATGTTTATGCACCAACAATTCATAAATGTTACATTAACTCATTTCTCAATCTTAGTGAAGGGAAACAAAAATACACATTGCGGAATATTATGTGCTATAGGTCTTCATGGCGTAAACATAGCTGAAGTGTTCAGATACTTCCAGCTGTAATGCTACAAGGATCAGCTAAGATCTAGAATTGTTCAGGGACTGGGAATATTAAAAAACATCTCTTAAATGCCATCCCATTATGTGAAATAACTTGGGTTTGTATCTTGCCTAGAGGAAGATGTAATCTACTCTTTGATGGTACTGTAGTTAATTATCAGAAGGAAATTAGTTAAACATGTTTTAGTTCAAAGATAAGGTAACAGCACAAAACTGTTCCAACTCGTAGCACTCTCGGTCTCGACCAAGTGCTAAACTTTTCAGTTGGACCAATTTTAAAATGGTCAGGGTTAATGTTTCGGTGAACAGAACCTTAAACATCAACAGAATGTGACTGGGTTACAAAATGAAGATAGAAAATAATACCCTGGCTCCCTGATGGCATAGTGGGTAAAGGCACTACCCCAGTGTAGCACAAAGCCATACAGACCAGAATGTCCCAGGTTCGATTCCTGGTCAGCGCTGAGTTAGCTGATCATCACCCCCATACAGCTCTTGTACAGCTCCTAGGGGCTGGTTAGAGAGTGATATTTGGAAGAGGCCTGGGAGCAGGTCATCTGGCTGCTTGCTGTGTTTGGGAATGGTGCATGACAAGCTGGAAAAGAGAACCAGAAAAAACACTGGCCCAAACTCCTACATTTTAAATATTTATTTAAACAGACACAAAAGTGTCAGCAAATGGCTCCATTAACTTCTTGTCACTGATGACAATCAGCATTTACCAAACATTATCTATCATCAGGCTAGATCTAAACAGGGCTGTATCTACCTGAATATTTCTAGGGTCTTGTGGTCAAGGACCAGGTTTGTGTTACCAGTCAAGTCCAGTTCCTGAAGGGTGGATGGGAGCGTCTCAGGCATCAAGATCTCTGTAAGCTCATTACAACTGAGGTCAACCAGCTAAAATGGGACCAGAACATTAGGAGGAAAAACAAAGGCATTAGTGTCAAACCCAAAACCAATGTATGAGTCAAACAATCTATGCAACCATTTGCTATTCAAACAAGAATTTGCAAAGGCTAAAAATTAACAGTTCCAAAACTCCATAAAATGTAGCTCAGACTATCTTCAGAGAAAGGAAGAAAGAAATTCAAGTCAATTTGACCTGGATTTTTGGAATTTCCACACTCTTGTGGCTATTGACTGTTTTAGAAAATACCACAGATAGATAAGACTTGCATGGAACTTTACCATTAGCAATCTGCACTTATTGATATAAACGGTGATATGTCCTGTATATCCTGACAAATAACTCTTTATTGATCAAATCACATTTTTGTAGAAAAGCAATAGACAGGCTGTTTCTCTCATATATTGAGGATGACCTCTGGCATACCACCTTCATCAAGTTCACTAACCTCCGCGGCTTTGGACTCTTAAGTCAAGGAACAAGATGGGTTTCGTTGGCAGTCTGCCAATCCCTTCACATTGCAATGGTTCAAAAGCAGCAATGTGCCTCTTAGCTAAAGCATCACTCACCAAGCAGATAACAAGATCTTACCACCAGAGAGCAAAATAGACTATTCAGCATACTTGTGAAGGAGTGGGGTGGAGTATAAAGTGACAGCATGCATTATAAATTGGAGAAGCGGGAGATGACTTGGTTAAGAAAAACAAGGTGTGAGAAAATTCCAATATCACAGGAAAAACAGTACACTACAGTTTGATTTAATCTATATGTTGTACCTTAATCTCGGGTAAGTGCAAGATCTCAGGGAAGACAGTGATGCTGTTGGAGTGGACGACGAGGGTATGCAGCCTCTTGCAGCTGGTGATAGTGGTAGGAACGGCCTTCAGTTTGTTCCCGCTTAAATTCAGCTCCTCTAATAGCTCCAACTTTGTCAGCTTGCTGAAGGGGAAACAGTGAAACTAAGCAATGGAACTGGATGGAATCAGAAACTTCAACTACTTTATATTGGATGTGACTTGCACTAAGGCAGATACTTAAAGGCATCTCTCACAATTGAACTCTAGGATAATTAGCACATTAATGTGCTAATGTCATGGAGACCTGTAGCACACTAATGTGCTAAAGTCGTGGAGACCTGTAGCTCAGCCTTGCAAGCGAGACACCTGGGTTCAATTCCAGGCAGGGCGAAACCTTGGGGAAGTTTCCTTACTCCACACGCCTAATAATAATCCCTCCAAAAACAGAAACAATAATAAATTGGTCATTTTCAATCCACGACTGTTTGTGGGACACTGCTGTGCGCAAATGGCTGCCGCATTTCGCCCACAAATATACGGTCAATTCACTTTCCAGTCTATTCTGTGAAGCACTTTGAGATGTCGAGAAGACATAAAAAGCGCTATATCAAATGCAAGGATTATTATTAATGCAGCAATGCTACAAACAGTTTGCAAGCACAAGATGCACCACTATTAAAATGAAGATGGCAGGTCTTAACTGAAGTAATGGAAAGTGGATTCACAGATGATCCTCCACATTAGGAGGTACTTGATTATTTCCTTAAAGGTTGGAAGCCTATTCTGTACCACATCACTGGTAGACCATGCTATTCCACAGATACAATTCACTTTAGAGTTTTATAACACATTTGGTAAAGCTATTCAAGTCAACCAGATCTTCTAAAATCCCTCTATTAGTCATCTGCCAATTTAACTGATGCAAGTTGACTTAGTCTATGAATGTAAAGCTTGCAGACATTGTCTTAAAATGAAGCTTTAAGCAAGACAAGAGACTGGAAAGAAATTTGAGCAGCAGCGGATGAGTGGAACAGATTTTCAAGAAAATAATAATAATCTGTGCATTTGTAATAGTGCCTATCAGGTCAATGTGATGTCTCAAAGCGCTTCATAGAACATATTGTAAAGTGGATTGACTATGCAAAACATAGTTGCTTTTTTCCTAAAAATAATTTTATTGTATGTGTGGATTGCACATATATTCCACATAACCTAAGGCACTTATCAAGGGGCTGAAAAAAATCATGGGCACCATTATGGGACTGAACTCTGAAACTCTAGCTGGGAATAACCATTCCTTCTACCCATCCAAAGCTTGAGTAATTTCCGCCTGGCTGTCAAATACAGGAATATTGGGTGGATGAGGACAAGTTGAGTGGTTGCTGAATCTTGGTATTATAGAGAAAAATTCTGCCTTACCTAGCTGGAAATGACTGTAGCTGGTTGTAAGCCATGTGAAGCACTCGAAGGCGTGGGTGTCCAGTCAACATTGGAACGCACTTATCAGTCAGGTTGTTCCCCGTTAAATAAAGTTCCTGAAGCACGCTAAGACTCTCCTCAGTATCACTGCTGGGAGGTAACGATTCCAGATTGTTTGCAGACACATTAAGAATTCTTAGGCTTAAAAAGAATACACACAAAATCATAAATTAATAAATTCTAGTGTAATTCACCTGAATTTGATTAAATTCTAACATGATAATCACTTGCATTTCCACTTACTTTGCTTGGTATGCTCAGTGGTTGTACCAAAATATCACAAGATAATGTATATTGAAAGCTGGCAACCAGAAATTGTTAAATGATGTTTGTATATTTGTGTATGCATACTTGTAGCAGTAAAATATTCCCTGCTAGAAACGGCAATATCTGCACAGATTCCTTGTAATCATAAATAGATTAGATTTAAAAATCATGACAGATAGATGTAAAATGCATGAACTAGATTTCCTTTTACTCATCATCAATAAAATAAATAGATACATCTGTTGTTCAAATCACATGGTTCACCCAATTACTTTTCAATCACATGGGATCAGAATGTAGCAAACAGTCCCGAACACACTGAAAACATCAGCAACAACAACAACTTGGATTTATATAGTGCCCTCCACGCCAGACGGCATCTCAACAAGCGCCTATTGACATGGCATTAGGCTATCAAAATAGGAACAGTAGTAGCAAAAATGTCTTTATAATACAGAAGTTCTTATACAAAATGCTGTAAGTGGACCTTTAGCTATTGGACCATTACAACTTTTGAAATAGTTTGTGATGACTCCCATTGCACCCTCTGGTGTATGTGTATTAATAGTCAAAAAGTTGTGCAGTAAATGTCTCTCCACTGGGCTAAGGTTCACAGGAGATGATCTGAATAGTCAAATGCTTTGCTAAATTACAGTCAATCCCAGGATTTACAAAAGTTATTCTCATTTAAATTTACAATTTTAGCTCATGAACTTGTGTTAAAATTTTCATTACTTGTACGTATACATATTCACGTCTACCTACTTTGAGAGATCAAGGTGGACCAACTGACCAGGAAGTGGGTAGACATTTAGTGTTGTCAGCTCTGAATAAGATATCCAATACAGGAATGCTTCAACTATACTTACTTCAAGGCCTTCAGGAACAAGCATTCTGGGAGCTCTGCTAGTTGGTTGTGTTGCACATCAAAAACATCCAGAGGGGTGTGTTCCACTTGGTTGGGGAGACTCTGAAGATGATTGTGTCCAACAAACAGCTTTTGTAGGCTCAAGCTAGAGAATAACCTGTGACAATCCATTGAAAGAAAGGGACCACAATGGGATTGAGAAGACAGGATTATATTTTTAAAATTAAGCAAAATCAAATCCTATATAAAGCTGCAAACAAGACCTAGACTATGGAGGATATATTCATATTTTGTGATACGTACCTCATAGGTAATTCTGTAATCAGGTTATGACTAACATCCAGCAGCTCTAGTTTCTTGGTATCACAGACCCAATCAGGTACAGATTCCAGTCTGTTCCTGTGAAGGTAAAATGCAATGATGTTTCAACTCATTGTGAAATCTGAAGATCTTTACAAATGTGTCCACGCCTTTCCCCATCTCCCAATACTATATCGCAGAGAATAAATCGCTCTGAACCCTGCACCTGCAATGTTCTGCACAGGTTACCATTGGATACACAAAACCACTTCAGGATTCTTCACTTCCACATGCTTGAATTTTAAAATAGTTAATCAGGAATTACTTTTTATAAAAATTGATGCTATTATTTATAAGGTGATTTAAATAGTCAAATGCTTTGTTACATTACAGTCGATTACCAGGATTTACAAAAGTTATTCTCATTTAAATTTACAATTTTAGCTCATGAACTTGCATTAAAATGTTCATTACTTATACATGTACATATACACGTCTACCTACCTTGAGAGATCAAGGTGGACCAGCTGACCAGGAAGTGGGTAGACACTTAGTGTTGTCAATTCTGAATAAGATATCCAAAACAAGGTTTCATTAAAAACAAAAATTGTACTGAACTTCAATAAGAATCTAAACTGAGCACAGTAATGCTGTTACTGCTGATTGGAGTAGCTGGGATTATTTATTTTGTAAAACACGCAATTTTATAGAAAATATTGAAACCTCTAACTTTTTTTTAAACACTGAACGCACAGAGCAATAATTCAAACCAAAGAAAATTCGCTGGATTAAAGAAATGACAATTAGCAACATTAATAGCTGAATCCATTCCAATAGCAAAGTTCTGTTATCTCCAAGGTGAAAATAGTTTTTTTTTTAAAATGTTGACTTACGGTTGGAGCCAGCATACAGTGCCCTCAGAGAGAAACCACTTAATGTGAGGGTGGTCAGATTGTTGCGTTCACAGTGCAGTTGTTCAATACCTCCAACTACACTTAAATCGAGCTCAGTCAACAGATTATCTCGCAGATCCAGGCAAGTTACGTGATTGATTGCCTCTAGGTTCTCCATCACTACTGAACAAATCGAATTCAGCCTAACAAGTGCAACAAAAAACAATTACAGATTAGAATCTATGGCTGCATCTTCCAAGGAATGGGGATATGGCATAATCAAATAGCCAGAAACACTCATTTCTAAACAGTGTTTGCTGATGCCATTTACAGCAAAGGATGAAGCCTGCTCAAAAATACAAATAAAGGCAAGTAAAAACAGATAATGCTGGAATTGCACAGCAGGTTGATGGCTAGCTAAAAGTGAACACTACGTTAATGCTTTGGACGTTAATTGATTTTTATTTTTTTATTACATAGTTACAGCAAGGAAACCGGCGATTCAGCCTAACTAGTTGCTGCCAATGTTTGTATGCCACAAGAGTCTCCAGCTGTTTCTGGAGATGTTGCAGTTTGGAAACAAACATTCCTCTCCTGTACAATGTGGGCTGCACACAAGAGGTATGGGAAGGAGTTCAAAAACCCATGAAACTGTGAGTAACAGACAGCTGGGAGAGTAGTCCTGACATCTGCTGGTTATTGAGAATATTTCATTCTGTTAATTGTTTACAAAGAGTTACCACGCTTGAGATTAATTATTTGTGCAAAACGTTGAGCCACCATAAGGCATTCTAAAAGTGCACAGTACTTCATGGCTTTTCTAATAAATGTGGAAAGTTACTCCAAAGTTTCAGGGCTCTGAGATACTACCCTGCATGAAGGGCACCATATAAATGTAAGTTGTTGTAGCTGTAGTAAATTTAGTGAGTCTGTTTCTCTTACAATTCTAATCTAAAACTAAATATGAAATATGCTACTTGAGTTTTGTTGGACACAACTACACACAAAACCTGAAAAATAACATGCAGATTGGTACTGGGCATTCATAGAGCTGGTGTTACAGTACCGTGTGCAAGGTTTCCTTACCTTAGGTCCAGGTGTTTGATTTGTGTCATTTCTCCCAGCGTTTCCAATGCCAATATCTGTAAGCGGTTTCCAGCCATACTAATCTTCTCCATGGCTACAAGTGTGACGCAGACGGCTGGGATTGCTGTGAAATCATTGAAGGACAAGCCAAGGTGTGTGAGCTGCTGCAAATTTCCCAGTTCAGAAGGCAAGTTCTGAAGGCAATTCCCATCCAAAATGAACGTTTGAAGGCTATGCACGAAAGGGGAAGAAAATGAACATTGCAAATCACAACACAATTCTCAAAACAGTCACTGCTGTATGTTCTTCGTACAAAAGCACCTTTGTTTATCAAGTCAAATCTTAAACTCAAATCGTCACACCTCGTTGGGTCACAAAAGGAAAATACCAAACTTATCCCAAGGTCTGTTGAGTGAGATCTTATATTAATAATAATCCTTGCATTTGATATTGTGCTTTTCACATCTTCTAGACGTCTCAAAGCACTTCACAGAATAGACTGTAAATTGAATTGACTGGGCGAAATGCGGCAGCCAATTGCGCACAGCAGTGTCCCACAAACAGTTGTGGATTGAAGTGACCAATTTATTATTCGGTTTTTTTCTTGAGGGATTAGTATCAGGCATATTGGCCATCTTGGGACAAAATAAATGTATAAAGAGGAATAAATACACAAAAATAGAACACAAACAAAATTAAAAAGAACATATTTTGTTAATGACCAAATGGTAGTGTGAAAGCTATTCACTTTTATCAATACATTTTCAATTTGTTATGATCTCATCGAGTCCCAACAGAAATAAAAAGAAACTGGCACCTTCGCTTAAGTGTTCGCTTACAAGGTTCTGCTGGAATCAGATTTATCCATAGCATTTAATTTTAATATTGTAGCCACAAGATGCAATAACATTAGCAAACCCATAATTACAATAATAAATTGGAACAAAGCTTAGCAATCACCAATTTTTATAGCTGACAAAGTGAGGCCAGAATATACTTTTCATTGTTATATCTATAGAAGTTGATGCTCAATGTAATACTTGTAAAAACAAAAACTGAACTACTTATCTTATGTTGCAGTACTTACTTCTGCAAGTTTCCAATCTCCACAGGAATGTTGTGTATCCTGTTGCATGATAGGTTGAGTTCACTCAGAGTGAACATTTCACACAAGGAAACGGGAAATTTTAGCAGTTTATTATTTGACAGATTCAGGCTCTTGAGCTGAGTAAATCTAAAATGAAACAAGTTGTGAAAGAACTCAAGGCAACTGCAAGAACTCAGTACATTGCTCTGCTTGTACTATATTTTAACTTTATTCCTAGCTAACTCCCACAGGCCTCTAATTACAAGTGCATCAATTGAACAAGGTAGGTTTGCTGCAATAGGTTTTGGAAGAGTTTATTATAGATTAAAATTCATAATAGATCCTGTTGAAACTTTACACCAGATGTTTACTGATCCTGAATCTCTGTTGTACCATTAGGGTTTGGAGCAAGTTTTTAATGTTAATTATATACCAGTAATTAATGTAGAAAGCACACATTGTAGACTTAATTCAGGAAAATCATAACAAAAATGATCTTTTACTTTGCAGGTCTACTTTGATAACGGAAGGGTCTTTTAAGCTTTTAAATGAAATTTACCTCGTAAAAGTGATGTCTACATATTAAAAAGAAAAACTCTCCTTTGAACGCAATTCAGTGGACTATGGGCTCTATCTGACTATTATCCTGCAATGATGTATAAAGTTTAAGAAGGGGAGAAAGAGGAAAAGAAATGAGTTAGGTACCTGTTTAGGCTGCTGAGTGCAATATCTGTTTGTATAAAATTCTGCCGAAGGTTAAGATTTGTGATATCTTGGCTAAAGAAGAGATATTCAGGAAGTTCCTCAAGGCTGAAGCATGATAGATCAACTGTGCCGATTCGCTGAGAGACCACCTACAAATAAACAGTTAAGAGTTAGCTGGCTCCTGTGGTTATATACTGGTAATGGAATCACACCCTGGCTTAACTTGTCACTCCCACTTAAGTCATCATGCTGTCAATATCCTGACCGCATTTATACGTATGCCTAACTCACCACTCCTGATAGCTCAACATTGATTTATTAGATTACTGTAATTAGCTTTAATTCCAGTGCCTTGGGACGTCCTCCCGACGTGAAAGACGCTATACAAATGTAATCTTGTTGTTATTAATTATTATAGCTCACATTGTAATATACTTTATATATTGTGATCAATGATAATGGCAGAATACACACTGTTTTCTATTTACATAAAATTGACTTTTCAATTTGAATGAGTTTTTTTTTCTAATACTGTATAGAAGTCTGGTTCCTTTCTTTTTGGTCTGATGATATGGCATACACATTAAAATCAATTTAGCAAGTTATAAAAATTAACTAAAAATAAGAGATATTTGCATCCTCCAAGTACACAAGGTTATTCAGGCCTGTGGTAATAACACACTACAATTCACCTTGGAAGCTTGTCTGAGCCACCGTAGGTACTCCGGATATGTATCAAACGCGACATAATAAGTTTGTCCCTGTGGCCCGGCAGAGCTGAACATGAGGCAGTGCTGTCGTCGTTTTACTTCATCCACCTGTACACGTCAAACATTTAAAAAAGGTCATTTTTACATTTATAAGCTTACATTTACAACAACAAGCAAACAAACAGGTGACTAGTCCAAACTTTTCCTTCTAAAAAAAGAGTCCCCCAAAAAAGTCCTATTTAGCGAGCAAAATATAATATATTGTTTCTAAATTGAGTGGAATGCAAGTAGAGCAAACTACAGTATGAGCAATAAGTGATGCAGATTTTGTATGCAAAGCACAGAATATTTAAGGTCTGTATGAGACAGATCTATAGTATAGTTACAAATCTATCAACAATACACAGTTCAATACTGGAATATAGTTATCAGAGAATACTGAATGTATTACTTTACAGAGCAGCATAAATATCTTGGAGTTAATTTACAAGCTGCTATTCATAAGAATGCCAATATTCCCAGTATGATGTCTAGTTCTGATAAATTCATGTTACACACTAAACTTGGACTCCAGTTCTTCTGGGGTCTCTGATCTAAGGTATTCAATATGTTATAATTTTGCTTCTGTACTGTAAGCAACATTTTCAATGGTTTTCTCCTTCCCAAATTTTAAACCTCAGCATATCCTTTGTGTGACAGCAACTTTTTTTAGTGTTCATCATAACAAAAATTCTGCTGCAAAGAAACCATTGCATACAATATGCCATACAATATGCTGGCGTAAAATGCATAAACATACTATACAATAATTACCAGCTCCTCCAAGAATGACTGTAGATTTCTTACCTTGCCTCCAGTAAGAGGAAGCACATGCATTTTTCCCATCTGGCATTCCTTCACTGAAGACACAATGAGGCAGGTCCCACAGAGAATGACCTGCCGTTCTGACCATTTGTGTAGCTGGGTTTTGCCTTTCCGAACACTAAACACACCAGAAAGATGAATCCGATCTAGTTGTTCTACGCTACTTGGTTTCCCTGAGGAAAAAAAAGCAAAATAATAATGGTTGCAGCATATTGCAGATTTATGCCAACAAAATATTTAAGAAAATGCGTATGAACAGAGAATTCACAGTAGCAAGTAGCTTAAATTTTATACCGCATGTCTACTCAATATGGATTAATTTAATACATTTTAAAACTCGCCACAACAAATGGGGTTACTTGCAGTCCCATGTTTGTAGGACAGGGTTGTTCAAGGACAATAGATATTGCATAAGTAGGTTAGAGAGATACAGTAATACATCATCTTTATAAATGCCCCGAATTCAAGAGGTCCTGGAATAGGTGCAGAAGTAATACTGGAACAAAAATAGGCCAACTTGCCTCATTCCACATCCTCAAAAACCATTGAAAATTGCAAGGGAAAAATCCAGCCCTGTCTAGCCATTTTCTAGCCACATCATTTTTGGATCTTTTCTTGTCGTAGATCAAAATTAATTTTTAATAACCACTTCAACCTCATGAGCACTAGCATCAATTCTGATATGTGAATTGTTTGCTTAATTATGCTTTGTTGGTAACTGTCAATACTCAGAATGTAAGTATTGCAATGAGGTGCCTGGATGAAGTGGAGGGTTGAATCCGCACAAAATGAAAGCTATTAGTCTACAACTTCAGCAGAACGTGCAAAGGGTTCAACGTGAATCCAGTCTGAGTGGTCTCAACAGAACTGTAATTAATAGATCGTGTCAGACAAAGATGGCTTATGTGAGAAATGTCATTCTTGCACAACAATTGATCACCTTCTGATAGTGAATTCAAGGCAAATTATTTGGGCCAAGTAAATGAACTTTTTCCTGCATCTGATAACTGCTACAACTGATTTGATGCGCTAGTGATCATCATGTAGTCAATCATTCTATTCCCCACCCCTCCCACTAGACAGCGATCTTTAAAATTGATAGATGATATAAAACTAAGTAGGATTTTCAGTGAGCATAAATAGTTTGACAAATATTCAAATTTATTCTCAATGATTTGTATTAAATTAGTGCCTTGACAAAACACAATCCCAAAATAAAACTTAATAGCAATTAAATTCACTTCCCCAGGATGTTACTTGGCTGACTGACTATATTTTGCCATTATATATCGTTTTGCCTCAAGGCTGAATATTCGAACTTCAGAAATAGTTTGGCTTTTAATTCCACAAAAAATAGATTCAAAGTTCTTAAATATACATATCCTCCAAATAACCAGTCATATTGGTCATTCACTGCATGGCTGTTTGTGGGATATTTGTGGCTACCAAGTTGATCTACAAAATACATAGTCACTGCAGTGTATCATGTGAAGTGTTTGAAATGTCCTCTCAATGTGAAAGGCACTATATCAAATGAAAGGATTATTATTTTTACACACCAAACCTACAAGGTGTATTTTTTCAGCCACTGGAGGGAGCAGTACTTTGCAGAGCCAAATGTCAGTCCAATCTAATGGAATGTTGCTTGGCAGAATATACAATCATTCGAGAAATTTCTCATCTATGAGCAAGGAGTGAGATCTGAAGCATTTGTTCCAAGCTTAGTACTAATCCCTGTAAAAATTGAAGTCAGATTAGCTTTGAAAATAAAATACTACACTGTTGGAAACTGCTAATCGGAATTTAACACACACACACCTCTAGAAATTGCAGTAATACGCTTTGGATCTGTGAGAAAATTACATTACTAGTTTAAGGGGCACTTAATAACATGCACTAAAGCCAATTCTAAGTTGCATCTATATCATTGGGCAATTTACTACAAATGCTCATTTGTACAAATGCAAAACAGTTTAAAGAAGTCAAACAAGACTATCATTGCACCAGTTTGTTTTATGACTGCAAGACAAAAACGTTTGAGGCTTCTTTGTACCTCAGTTACTCACTTAATTTATTAAAACGTTCCACAGGATAGACAGAATGTGGATGAATTAATGACTGTTAAAATCCACCAGTACATGCATTTAAGCAGTGATATTGTAGTTTGACATCATACAGTACCAGTTGCAGAAATATGCAAACTGGGCTATTTACATTTATTAGGTGAATTGCATAAAGCAGGCAGCAAGTACAGTTTACACATTAGCTACCTCAGTATTAACTTAAGCAAGTTGGATGCCTTATACTACTTGTCTCCTCAAAATGGCCAATAAATAAAAATGCAAGATAAAAATGTACACAAACACAAATTTTAAGTCTGGTTGTAAAAATTGCTACAATGCTAAATGCATGCAACACTTTGATAATGGAGCATTTTTTGCATTTAAAGCACCATCCATCTTGAGAATCTAATGTGCCTAACAGTACAATTACTGCCGCCATAAATACATTCTTTATGATTTAATTGTTTTATCTAAAGATCGTCCTTCCAATTCTGAAATAAGGTTAGAGACAGAAAAGGGAGAACAAGCATGATGAATGCTTACATATCTCACAGATACAGACAGTTCAAATTGAGAGCTCTATGCATTTTACTTAGGCAATTAAATCATGCAAGAATGTGAAACCAGGTGTCTTCCCTCCTTTAACCAAGCCAGATGTCATTGCAGTTGCCACACTACCCTCCTAAACTACAGATCCTAATGTTGAAAGAAATCTAAACAATCTTTGGTAACTTTACATACAATTGTTCCACACTGCTGACTTGCAGATCTCAATCAAGCTTATCTGCCTACAATTAACCTGCAATGTGGCTGCAAATCTCCTAACCTGCAAGATATAGGACTCCCATCTGTAGAGAGAAGCGTAGACAAGAATCAGAACCACCTTGACTGATGCTGANTTTTTCTACATAATTTCCATTACAGATAGAATGCACGATGCGCTGATCAGTTCACTCATCTTTAGAGTTACATACACAAAAGTGTAAATATTCTGAACAATTTCTTCTTCAACATCCTCAGCATTTCCTCATAGCTTAAATTCCTGATGCCTGAAATAATAGGAGCTCACCCCTTCACCTTCTCAAGGGCAATAAATTTCTTCCTATGAGTAAATGAATAGAACTTCACACAATTCTCAAGATGAGATCTTACACAAATATAATATAGCCTTTTGGGATTTTATATTATTTTCCTTTAATTTTCAGGGTTTTTTTACTTCACATTAGGAAGTCACACAAAAAAAATCACCTACAGGTTATACCTGCAATCATAGTGTTGCACTGAAAGTTTTTCTTAAAGATGAAAAGAAATCTTCACTGAATACTTATTTAATGAGACTTCAGCCTCTTCCCCCGAAAAGGAGACAAAGAAAACTCTCAGGATGTTGCACTTCGGTTAAAATTAGTACTAAGGTAACATGGATCACAGTTCTCCCTCCCACTTCTGAAAGGTCAGGAGTGTCCAGGCTGCTTTACAACCATGATTAGCGAGGCAAGAAATAGAAGTAAATGAGAGCAATATATTTGCTTCTAAAGCAGGTGCACTGCCACACAAGCCACTCTGAGGAAATAGTGTGGCGGGGCACCAGGAAACTATGAAATCTTCGGTTACGAATTGAACACTCAACTGAGGAAATACAGTACTTTGTGTTTCATTATGTGCAACTTACAATTTGGGAACAATGAAATGAATAGGGAATCCTGGTGCCACGTCGACACACCCATCAGAGAATCAGACGCAAACAAGAGAACAATAGAAGAATTGTACTGCATCCCAAACCAATATTTGAGAGAATAGGAAGGACAAGCTGGACACCCTTGCCAAAGCTGCTTTGAAACCCTCTTCACTTCTCTTATCCACTGAGGAAACTCTTCTCATCCAAAGTCACCCTTCTCCTCTGTCTGCCTCGGGCAGAGTACAGCCAAGAATCGCAGAACTTGCGTGTTACAAACTAATTCATTAACTAACCTGCCTCTAATGTTTCTTTACTGTGGATGCCACAAAAGGAAATTGGATTTTAAAATATTAAGAACCTACACCTACACCTGCTCACCTACAGTTTTGAGACAGTGGATAATAAAAAAACAGGAGAAATAGGAGGTACTCATGGCACTGTATACTGCCCCCAGGATGATTAAGTGCTTCTGACAGAAGCTAAGCTGGCAGGCAGGCTGGCAGGGCTCACTAACTTCCTGCTGCTGTGAATTCAGGCTGTCAGTGATGGATGTGCTGAGGTGCACACCCCAAGGACAGTCTTACAAAAAAAATTACACTTGTATAGCGTCTTTCATGTTGGGAGAATGTCCCAAGGCGCCGGGTCATCCCAAAAGCAGACACTAGCACAAATAAAATTAGAATACATTTGATATCAAGGCAAAACCAATTTGAAAAATCCAGTCATTCTGTGAAGTTCTGAATACTGTAACACAACTATTATTGTCTATGCCTTTTGAGCCTTGGAGTAAAACGTTTACATTTTACTGAATATGGGCTCACCAAGGCAAAGGACAACAGTAGTGGCAACAGAAGTAAAAACTCCACATCAAGCAGCCCCAGGTCATGTATGGCATAGATCATCTTTAAGTTATACATCTCCAATAGCTTTGCTAATGTTGAATTTTGAAATGTTCAGTTACACTGAACAGTCTTGGGCACTTAATCAGCTACATTCAACTTTCTAAAAAAGGAATTTCAAACTTTGGAAGAACAGATATTTTTCATTACACAAAATGCTGCCAAAATCCTTCAGATTAAAAAAATTCAGTGTACACAATAAAAAACAAACATTGCATTAAACACAAGTCTTAAGCAGCAGCTAGCAATCCTGAGCCAATGGTTCCATTTGTAAAATAATTTCTCTTGCCAAGTACATAAAAGGCCACAGGCATTGAAATATCTCTGAGCTATAAATATGTACTATCTCCTAAAAGGCATGATAATTGAAATTTCTTTGGATAGCATCAGCCAATATAAATACAAGTTGATGTTGTTTACTAGTCTTCATGTTATGACTTTATGTATTCTGTAACTGTTGATACTCGCTTTTTTAAAAAATAAATTCTCTATTTACAATGATTATCTGAGATTACAAAATAGATTCCAAGAAACAA